TACATTGTAGCTGGATATCCTTGTACATACCTTGGAATGCAACTTCGGGATGGTGAATCATTCCACGAAACCTGTAAATTTTGGTAATTATTTTATTTTTATATTTCATTTCTTCTATTGACACATTCAGGCACAAAAATGCAATGAAAATAAAAGATCGGAATCCCAGGCCGGATGGGTTGGCTAAAGAGTCGAAGCTTATCGAGAGGCTTTCCATAATGTATTTCGATTCGAAAGAGAAAAACAAAATATAAAAAAAAAATGGAAATTAAATAACTTATAAAAATTTAAGAATCCAGATGAACCAACGTTTCTTGTTAGTGATCGACGTCACAAAACGCGACTTGTGCATAAACAGGCGCTTCGAGTGGTTAGATGATTTTAAAAAAAATCCTTGCGTTAAATTTAAATTTATTATTAAAAAGCATTGCAAGAATCGTTATTTTAAAAAATAATTTTAAAAATGCCAGAAAGAAATTTGTCAAAACTGGTACTTTACTTAGGGCCCCTACATCGCGTCATTGCTGTACAATGATTAGGGAGGCTAAATTCTCGACCTCATGTTATTTAAAAATTCATAACTCCATATGGCAAAAATGTTCTTAAAAGACTATTCTGCCCCACTATATGATTAAGAAAAATTGAAAGGTTTTTTTCGACCTCGAAATTCAAGATTGAAAGAAGAGCCTATCTAAATAGTGTATTATATAGGCCATAGTACTATTACGCTTCATAGTACTAGACTAAGCCTAACCTATTTTATACCTCCATGGCCTAACTAGTAGTAGTACTGTTTCAGTTACCGTATGACTTACGGATTTCTCTTATAATATATTACAAGTTATTTTGGAGATACCCATGGATTGGGACTTTAGCTAGAGGCTTGCCACTAACACCCGTTTACTATACGAATTTCAGTTGTCCTGTGTGCAAGTAAGAGGCCTAGGCCTTGTAGCCTACTGTTTCTAGAGCCGAACAATGTTGTACGCCTAGCTAAGGTGCTAAACTATTTTGGCCATGGTCAAACAAAAACTACATGTAATATAATAATTATTAACCCTATTGAAAATCAATTTCTTTTTGAATTTTTCTTTATAAATTTCAAACACGTGTTAACTAACAGATAGAACTATTTACTATCGATGAATAACAATATTTTCTATTTATTTTGTTCAATTTCCTGATATTTTTGCACTCGTCACCCTTGTCATTCATGCATGGCCCCAATATGACACTCCACAATACCTTCTCGGGTGATTGGGAGACCTTCTCGGGTGATTGGGAGATTCACTGTGATTCACTGGCAGACAGTCAGCTGGTTTTTGTATCTGTGACTCAAAGATTTTTTTCACCCTTTAGTGTTGTAGTTTTTGGTTGTTTTTTTCAGATTCAGGGCAGCGCTATTCCCTTTTCTTTTCAGCTTGTGGGTCATCTATTCTTGATTCTGAGACCCATCCATCCATGATTCTCTCAAGAAATTTATCTTATTGTTATCTATTTATTTATACATTTTATACTTCTGAATTGCACATACTACTGTTTTGTCTATCGGATCAACCAACACTAATTTAATTTTTACCGTGTTGTTAAAATGACCATAAAGTATTGTATCGTAATAACTATAACGTATTTTCAGCATCTGCAAAGCCGGAGAAGTACATTGCGACGAATCCTTGTGTGGTGAGTATGATCGTTTGTGTCATTAATATTAAATGCAGCCTTTTCGGAGTATTAACAACCTTATCAACTAAGCAATCTGAACTGCGTAAGGAATACGCACTTGCCCCCGAACCTAAAGTCGTTTCCGAAAATTTGAATTTGGTGTGAATGCAGGAATATGAATCTTAAGTTAAAGACGGGCACACACTATGAAGAATGCAACGCCACGACGTGTGCGCAACGGATCAGCTCAGACTAGGGGGATAAACCCGGCTCAACAGGTTTATCCACATGCCAGTCTGAACTTGGTGGCTTATCTCAAGCCGGGCTGTGTTCCTATAGTAATTAGGCCTGGCGTACTGCCACCGTGTTTAACTTTTCTAAGCTGGGCTTTAATTGCTGTGGGGGTCTTGCATTGACTTCTGGTAAAAAAAAATGACCAATCAGCATTCAATTACGTGTTCTGTGAGTGAGTGCACGTTTCTAGCGCAATGTTTCGAAGCTCGTTTCCTGGTTACGGTTCATTAATATGCAAATGCTTGCGCCTGGCTAATCTCGCTAGTTTGAAAGCCTGGCAAAGTTAAGCCGGGCTTAACCTTGAGCCGGGCTTAACGTAAGCCAAGCTTATCTCCAAGTCTGAACGTAGCCAAAAACTTCATATACTTGCAGTTTACTTAAATTCCTTTAATATTTTTTTATGTCATTGTTAATGCAGATGAAGTAAAACCTGGGACTTGCCCAGAGCGAAACGGTGGATTTGGAATTTGTGTTACCGAATGCAGATTTGATACGGAATGCCCAGGATTAGAGAAATGTTGCAGTAATGGATGTGGGGATGTCTGTCTTTTACCACAAGAACGTAATTTACACCATTTACATAATATACATAGTATAGGCCGGTACTGTAGTGATAATTAATGTTTATTGTGTTTAGTTGCTAGATTCAGTAAATTGGATCGATATGGCTTAGAATAGGCAGTTGGTGGTTAGCAATGAGAGAAAATAGAACATAAGATAAGTAAAATCTTATTTTTTGAAGGTTTGCATGCACAATAATAATATATTAAATGCGTGTGCTACGGTACACCACATAGTATCTATCTACTTGGTGACCGCAAGCATTTAATATAAGTTAAATCTTTTGAAATGATTTGGCAAAAATAAACAAAATGTAATCTTAACCCCAGTAAATGCAGATTTTTATTTTTAATTTATTTTTTTTGCAAGAACAACAATATACTACAAAAGTTAACTAAATGAGGTACACTGTAGAGAGTGGAGGGTTTAAATACACAATGCACCACAAATTTTTGTCACGTTTAAAAGCTAAGCGTGGCTGATACAGCATGTGCTTCTATAGAATCTTGACGTTTTGATGTGTTTTTGTAAGCTACTCTTACAAATGAAGAAACTTTGTAAGTTTATAAGGGTTTTATTATATTTATAAGGGTTCCCTATACTGCCCTTTTTTGGCACTGAGGTCTTACTCGTGGTCAAGATAAAAGAAGTGAGGAAAGTGAAAAAGGGAAAAATGTATTTACTCATAAATTACCACCTTAAAAGTAATTACTACCTATATATGTTAGTGTTATCTTTTACTTATTTTTGTATTTATTATTGGCCTATGCAATTTTCAAGATTCAAGGTTCCATTTATTATCATATACAAACACAAGTACAGTACTGTACATGAAATACTAAAATGTTATTGATAAATATTGAGTTAAAAAAAACAAAAAAAAAATAAATAAATAAAAAAAAACATTACAGCACATTCTAATAAAACGATTGTTCTACTGATTTGTTATTTCGTTTAGTTACTGTATATCTTTGAATTAAAATTGATGAGAATATTGTTTTTGCAACTTTTGTATGTTTAATTACTGTATTTTTATACCATTGCATACTTTAATTTATTTAAATTCTTTGGACTTTTCATATATAAGGGCCTACTCTTGGCAGTCAGACAATGATAATGAACAGTAAAAATAACATACATAATTTGTGTAGGTTCTATGGCATTTTAAGAAACTTTTTTCATTTAATATCTTTTCAGGTGACGTGTTATCCGTTGGGAGGATCCCGTTACTCTCAATTTCATTTTTTTTCTCTTGATAATGTGATTATCATTCTTTTCCTTTTTTATGAATATAGAAAGTAATCCATCATCCTGTTACTTCGAAGACGATTGGTATGCAGATGGTCAAATAATCAATTCTGGTTGCGGTAGCTGCTTTTGCACAAACGGATCAGTTGTCTGTAGAACCCCAATTTGCCCTCTAGCTGATTGTTATGACCCGGTGTATGTTAAATCTGAATGCTGCCCCGTTTGTAGTACGTAAACAAAATATATATTGTTATCCTTGTCCGTGATTCGTGAATTGCAAAAAACACATTTTACTGTACCGAGAATATTTATTAATGTATTTTCTCAAATTTATCTGAACATCACACCCATCCCAGATAGATTTCTGAATTTCTGAACAAATTATTATAAAATATATTATTTTTAAATTCTCCTTGCTTGTCATTGTTTTTTTTTTTTTTTAGGTTAGCGGTTTAGAGAGAATTCACTCTGGTGTCGTGCTTGTATTGTTCTCTCTTGGCATGCCACTAACCTGTCTTTTTTCTACTTCATTGTTTGTCTTTTTTAATGTTTTCTGTATATCCCGCATTTATAATAAATAGAAATAACTAAATAAAATGTCCTGGTGTTCTAGCCTGGATTACAACTTTAGATCTAAAAACATAAACATACAAATACGAACATTTTAAACCAAATTTTACAACAGAGAATGTTTTATATATTTCTACATTTCAGTTGAATATTACAGTCATCCCGGGGAATGTCCTAGTGTTCCTACTACTACTACTTATTCACCAACTTCATGTGATTTTCATTGTCGCGACGACTATCACTGTAATTCAACTGAAAGGTGCTGTTCTACAGGCTGTGGATCGATGTGCATGGTAGCAGTGGCATTAGGTATAAATTAAAAAAAAAATAACACGTCTGAACAGTTAATATGTACTGTTTGCCAAAAGTATAGACAATGTAGGAAAACTTCTGAATCACTATTTAAATTTTTGAATAGATAATTTTAAAAGATCATGTAAATTATTATTTTCAACCAGAAACAGATTAAAATTCGTTGAATTCTACTACAACAATCCTCCAATTGATGACTAGTGGTCAATTTCAACTCTATCTAGACTATTAACTTTTGTTTGACAATAAACTCTTGCATGCCCATTATAGCCATAGTGGCCGTATTCGACTGGTCGTTCTTCGTTAAACCACGCCCACCTGCGCAGTGGTAAAATCCTACTTAACGAAGATGACCATGCAGCCATTTTGACAAAACAAAATGGCTGCATAGTTACCGCGATACACGCTGCGTAATCAAGGCTGCTTCGGATTGTGGCAGTATGGGTTTTTCGTTAAAAAAATGTTTTCATCCAGTTTTTTAATTCTGTTATCCTACAGTTATTTTATGACTCCAATGTGGTTAAATATTATAATTTTTATTTTCTGAAATTTAATCTAAATTATATTAACGCAAATGTTGTTGCTAAACTGACCAATCGGTCATATTTTTTTGGTCACGTGCGTAACTTAACGATGATTAACGCATTCTGATTACGTTAATTTTCGTTGTCTACGATGTCTATTTTACGAACCAGTCGTATGAAAATAATACTCAACGAAAATTCGTACTCAACGAAATGAACCAGTCGACTAAGCCCAATGTGACTATATTTGGCCATGATGTGTCATCATGACCATGTTTTTGTCAAATAAAATTTGATAGTCTGGACAGGGCTTAAAGGTCTGCGCAGAGAAGCTGTTTTACGGTATTATTGACTAGATTTCTATAGTTTGTCCTCTTAATTGATAGTTTTATGTTTATATACGACCATCTTCAGAGTGATGACACTATTGTAAGCAAGCAGCGAAATCTTCCCCACCCCTTTCACATATTCCTCTTGGGCAATCACTAACCCCCTTCATCCGACGCTACGACAAAGTCCAACTAAAAATATTAATTATACCCGATTTGAACTACCGGTAACTTACTGTGGTTGTTAGTGTCCTTAATATAATTGGTCTAAAGCACACTGTGGCACCCTTAACTATAGATTTTTTTTTATTATGAACCCACAAAGGATTTTATTTCCGGACTGTGACTGATGGTCTCTCTTTGACCATTTGTCTCAACATTAGACGGCGGTCGCATTAATGAAGATAGGGTAGTATACCTCAGAAGAGATACACATTATACTAACAAAAACATGCATGAGAATATTTATAACATTCCATCGGTCTTCACATTTAATATTTAAAAATTTAAACCAGTAAAACCAGTAGGGCCTATGCTTACTTTTTTTGGTGTAATCAGTTCCGCTAACTACCAGCTGGAGAAGTAATAACAATCAAGCCTTTGTACTGACGATGCTAACTTTTATTTTAGTTAGGGAAACTGTTTATACCAAAATAGTAACCATACTGGTGTTGTTTAAAGGAAGTTGTTCAATGTAGGAGAATGTCCAAATGCATTGAACTAATGTGTGTATGAACGCAAAATGTGCAAGATGTATGTGCATACGTAGGCTATGCAGGTATTTTTGATGACTTATGAATGATTGAGTGTGCGTGTGCGTGCGTACTCAGTTATTGTTATTATTATCATCATCTTTATCATCATCTTTATCATCATCATCATCATCATCATCATCATCATCATTATTATTATTATTATTATTTTTATTATCATTATTATTATTACTATTATTATTATTATTATTACCATCATTATCATTATTATCATTATTTTAAATTATCGGCAGTTGCAAAAATAATGGGTGATCTATTTGGCGTTCATAGTAAAAACTAGAGCCGTCACTCCATAGAATACATACCTCCGCCCTGTGCATGAATACAGACCAACAGTAACGCAGGTTGCGTATGAAGCAGCATACCATAAGAAAATAATAAAATCGCCTTTCGTATTCATACATATTATTTTCTTGAGTGCTGCACCATACCCTCAAGAAATTAATGGAATCTCCCACGTTGTATTCAGGCCCACTGCTGTTTTAGTGCTAAAGGGCAAAAAATTGAATGATGTCTTTTTTCGATTATTTTGCACCATTCCACTAAACAGACAGCAGTGAATACATAATCTTCTTGGCGGATGTAATTATCTAAAAGATTAAGTTCTCTCCTTTAGATCACGAAGGAATGTGTCCCTTTTTGGCCAACGATGGTCTTGTATACACCCATGAAACAGAATGCCAGAGAGATGACCACTGTGCACCAAATGAAAAGTGTTGCTATGATTTATATGGAACAAAAGCCTGTTTGGAATCTATACCAGAAGGTGAAAAACTTATACCTTTTGAAGTTGGTTAGGGTTAGGGTTTTCATTTTCTCTGTTTATTGCTACAAAAATGTTGTTTAGTAAATCAGTTGCATAACATAACAATGTTAATATCATATTCATTGTGTTAATGTGCCATATGCTTATACGGTACACCACGTAGATAGTTTTGGAAAGTACTGTGGTCTTCGTTGAGAATGTCTCAATGTTTCGATTCAGTTGCTTCAGTCGTCATCCAGAGATAATAGGAAATTTTCGGAAGCTGACAAAAACGATAACCAATACGGTTAGGCCACGTAACATTTTTAGACAACCCTTCCCCTACAACATCATATCTGTCACAACGTAGGCGATTCATACCTTTTGCATGAAGCAAAGATAATATTCAGCTTGTACAACATTTTAGGCACGAATGACGATAATGATAATGACGTATTCGTTATCGTAAGGTTGCGAAATTTCCTTATTATTTATTCCGCTTAAATGTTAAGCTGTTTCATTTTTATATAATATTAGGCCTATTATGTCATTATTATTAATGTCATTGTTGAAAAATGGTTATTAAACGAGTTATACATTTTCCAGATTCAATAATTTGTGATGATGGACCATGTAAGAACGGCGGGACTTGTGAAGGTTCATTTAGGGAGCCGTGGATTTATCGGTGTCACTGCGCAGATGGCTACGCAGGAAGCAACTGCGAAGATCTAGTCGTTGGTGAGAAGTTTTTTTTGTCGACATTTTACAGCTGCAACCTATTAGAGGCCAGTACATAAATAACAATAGAACAAACAACAAAGTGCTGTAGTTCACAATGAATTCTACTTAGCCTCTTAGTGCATGTGTCTGATGTTGTGTAACAATACCATTTTTATAAATTTCAGTATATATTAAAATTATAACAACAACGACAACGAAAACAACAACAACAACAACAATAATAATAATAATAATAATAATAATAATAATAATAATAATAATAATAATAATAATAATAATAATAATATTATTATTATTATTATTATTATTATTATTATTGTTAATTTTGTTGTTGTTATGATTTTAATATATACTGAAATTTTAAAAAATGGTATTGTTACAACATTAGGCACGTTCACTAAGAGCATTATTATTAGACCACGGAGACCTGTATGTGCGCAGATCCAACCCCCAGGTACAGTCTTCATACAACTGACTGAAACGCCGCGTTTCCCCTTTAATACATTTTATAGTACACAATTTTCAACATATTACAGCGTAGAACCTTCCAATGTTGTCTAGGAATCATGAATAATAGGCCCTATCTATCTTTTTTTTTTGGAAATTGATTGTGGCATTTCTTAATGGCACGTATTAAAGTGTTTTTTTATGCATACTTATGTTGCTGCTCCAACTAGGTGGTGCTATCGTGACTACCTCCATGCTACTACTATCTGTGACCCCTTGTTTAAGGTTTAAGCACAGAAGTTAGGCAAGCCAAGCCATTACACTCTAAAGAAAACTCAACAGAAACCTAAGTATGCTGTTTAGTGCTTAACAGGTTTTTTTTTGGCTACAGCTCTACGATGTAGAAAAGGAGGTTCACCTATGTAAGTATATGTATTACAATGTTGCTCATGATATGTTTTAAACGTAGCTGTTTTTTCTTATAAAAGATCGTTGCCATGTGGCTGTCAACCCATGCTCGAATGGAGGAACTTGTACTGGTAACCCGGAATATCCATGTGAATGCGTATTGGGATTTACAGGCCCGTTTTGTGAAGGTAATACATTATTATTTATTATTATTATTTGTTATACATATTGATACATAGAATTAAATTATAATATCCACACTATCAAATTTTATGTGGCGAAGTTGTGATGTATATATATATATATATATATATGGGCATGATGATGTCATATTGAACTTATTGCACCACATATGTTAATGACTCAGACAGTAACACATATTAACTTTGTAAATATTATCTTTCAACTTCATGAAAATTTCTTTCTCTTAGAAAGTTGTGATGCAAGTATCTGTCAGAATGGAGGAGCCTGTACTGGTTATGATTATTATCCCTGTTATTGCGATTTCGGATTCGCTGGTTCTTTTTGTGAAAAAGGTAGGCCTGTACTGAATGATAATTAGTCTTCCTCAGTGTTTTAAACAAATATATATTCTATGTATAATGGTTGTATGCATATGTCCACGATATTGCTGATAATATATTATGTATTATTTTCTATTATTTTCTTTTTTTTAATTTTTTAATTTATTTATTTATATATTTGATTGCCATTGACGTTATGAGCAATAGCGCCCTCTAGTAAGCTATACTAGAAATTGCAAATTGCAAGTGGAGTGCTTGATCTGAGATAGGGTGTTCGCGTTACGCCATAAATTCGTTACCAAGTACGTTAATTTGTTCCTTATGTTCTAAAGACAGAATCGGACGCTTCTAATTGCCACGTGTAACTGTAAAGTCGCGCGGCGTACGCTATGTTCAGAGCGGTCAAGGGTCAAAAGTTTCCAATTTAGCAAGAGGCCGCTTTTCATACCTTATTACAGAACTTGCATGCGTAAATCGCGGAGAACGCTATCTTGTGTTTATAAGATCTTTGTAATACACCAAAGATCTTATAATTACAAGATTGCATTCTCTGCGATTTCCGCATGCAAAATTCTGTAATAACGCAATGTACGGCGCTCCCTTGTAAAAGTGATTAATTTTCATCTTTGACTTTGGGTCCGGACGTCGACAACCACCACTCCCCATAGATCCGCCAAGGAGTATCATTTAAATAATCATTCCATGAATCTCAGACTGAATGCTGAATACTGCATGTATTGCCATATATAACAGAATATTCTAAAGTATAATATTGAATATTGCTACGTCTTTAACTATACTTTTAGAAAGATTTTACAAATGAAATCAAGTTATCTTTTAAATAAAAAAGAACATGAGCCATGAGCCAATGATAATAATTTTGTTTATATGTTAAAGCAGGTTAAGATATGCATACTGGTAAAGAATATGGTAAAGTTGGATTATACAATACATGCTAAAATGTTGTGATGGATGAGTCACGTATTGGCTTACTTATTCCATTATATTATTTTGTATCAGCCACACTCACTAAAGTGGTACATTCCACTTACCTATTTGGCCCTACATACTAAATACTCTGCTGCTTCGTTCACTATATCGTAATTTGAATAATGAATTCCCACAGGTGTTGCTTTTGTAGCGTGACAAGTCCTCGTCCAATATTTTGTTGATTCATTTTATTGTAAAATAATATTTTACAATATTTTAATTGACATAATTAGGAACTCAAAATATGCCAATAATGGTACTAAGACATTTAAAAGAATGGTGCTACGATATATTTCTTCCAGAGCTGTGCACTCATCTGAAAAGTAAATCGTCACAAACATTTTGTCCTTACTCAAATTAGTATATGATGATGATGATGACTATTATTATTATTATTATTATTATTATTATTATTATTGTTATTATTATTATTATTATTATTATTATTATTATTGTTGTTGTTGTTATTGTTATTGCTATTATATTGTTATTGATATTTTATTGTTATTGTTATTGTTCCTATTAATACTGTTAATGCTATTTTTATTGTTATTGTTATTATTTATTCCCTATGCCTTTTCATCTAACTATAGGCCTATCTCTGTACTCACTTCCTTCGACATTGTTTTATTTGACTGACGTCATAACTATTTTTCATGTTCTCTCGCTAAAATTACTTAGATCTAATAACCTGACCATCGCTTCATTTATTTCATCTCTGTGATCTTTCTCCATCACGTCACGTAATTCTGGTTTCATTCCCTTTCACACTTTGTTTTTCCCGTTTTCCTTTGCCTTTAATACTTCCTCGGTCTCGATCCCGCAACATCCTCTCCTAACATTAGAAGGAGACGTCTTATATGTTAGTTAAGCGAAAAATAACCTCTTGTATATATTTATTATTGTTGTATTGTATTCAATGTCATTGTGTGCTTGGCGGATAATAGATCTTGATGGCTGATGAGGCAATAAAATTGACTTGAATTGCTTTCAGCTGTGTGTGACCCAAATCCTTGTCAAAACGGCGGTACTTGTACAGGAATTGATTGGTTACCATGTTTATGTACATATGGTTTTGGTGGATTTCATTGCGACGAAGGTAAGTAGGCCTAACAATTTTCTATATTAGCGGCTCCATACAACACAGACTTTCATTTTCCGTGCTTTTAAATCAAATGGTGTGTGGATACTAGAAATTTGCGGAATAAAGGGACCACCTATACGTAATTGCATTTTGCATATGATGTTATGTCTATGAAATGACTTTAAAGTTGAGACCCGTTGTTTGATAATCAGGGGCGAATCCAGAGATATCTGAAAAAAGGGAGGGGAAGGGGTCGGAAGGTGGAGCCGATCGAGATAGCACCACCCTAGGGGGTCCGGGGGCCTGCCCCCGCGAAATATGTGTTTTCTAGACGCCCGAAAATAACCCCTGAGGCGTTTTGGGCGATCACTTTTTAATTTTTCTTCCATTTTTTTTCAATCGTGCTATTTAATGCGATAACACGTCATGTGTTAGCACTAAACAAGGATCGCTTATTTCATGCCTGCTTTTTGTTGCTGACCGTTTAATCTTATGGTTAAAGGATCGTTACCAGCCGATTCTTTTCTTAATTGTTCGCATGTTTGCATATATTTTTGTTGATAGATGACACAGTTCTGATACCTTCGTCGAGGATGTTTTGTCTTGAAAATCTTAAAATTGTTATTAAATTTTGTCAGACTATGGTACGGTGATAAATCAAGACAAAAAAAAATATAGGTAATTGGTAAAACAAATACGATCAGGGTTGAGAATATTGTTATTGAGTCATGTGATTCATATGTATTTAGGATCCCCATAACTAGACTGGGAACTATATTAAGTCTGTCATTAACGTACACTTGAAAGAGAGAAAAAAGTCTATTCCCACATACATAATATTTATTCAACATAAAAAAGACATTACTTCTACAAATTATAAAATTAATATATTTTGTTCTGAATTTCGTTTTACAGACGACCCCTGCAGTTCGAGTCCATGCATGAACGGCGGCAGCTGTATACCAGGTGGCTTTGATTTCTTTAATTCTTCTACTTCTTCTACTGACGCTGGTGATTGGTACTGTTATTGCCTTCCAGGATATGGAGGCGATTTTTGCGAAACAGGTAGGTATACACCATTTTACCGAAATTTGAAATGAAAAATTCCGATAACCTGGCACCTACCACTGGGGGACTTTCAGAGGCCTAACATTTCACTCTTTTGTGGATTAAATCAACGATAAAACTAAATTATTTACGAGTACAAATATTTTAAAACGGAAATAACACGAAATGTTTACATTAAAAATAAGTCCAAGTCTTAAAAAGCTATTTCAATGTTTACATATACAGTAATTACAGTAATTAGCAAGATCGTATCTATTGTCTACTGCTGCTATAGCAAAGGTCTAGCAGCGCTATCCGCTGCACGGTGCATGCTCTATTTGTAACCATGGAGGTATTATTGTTATTATTATTTATTATTATCTCAATAATACCTCCATGTTGTATCTAGCGAGTTGCTCAGGCTAAGCCTCAGATGCGGCAAGCCCCCAGTGAGGTGCGAGATGTTGGCGGCGCTGTTTCAAAATAAATCCGATGAAATGGTCTATAATAATAATAAAAATAATAATAATAAAAATATCTCCACCAAATGTGCTCAAGGCACATAGACAATTAAACCAACAAGATCCAAATAATTCCCAGAAGAATTTTTAGCAAAATCCAAACCAATTATCCCATCGAGGCAATGTTGCTCCCCATATAAGTACAGGTATACGCAGATACCCAAAGGCAGTATGTTGAGCATCAGCACCTTCCACCCCAGGATAAGCCTGGGGCTCCATTACCGTGCACTGCAACAGGAGCTGCATTGCGTCGACAGACAAAAGTGGTATCATGTGTTTAGTCTTTTTTAAAATTTTTTCAAATATTTTTTTTGTGAGTAATATAAATTCAACAGAGAAACATCAAGGTAGTCTATACGCCTTGGTGAAAATCCAAATTAATTCCAGAAAAATTTCAAGCAGAATCCGCATACCAAATTATCCCATCGAGGAAGTGTTGCTCCCCATTTTAATGATATAAATTGAACAGAGAAACATCAAGGTTCTTTATACGCCTCAGTGAAGAGATGCAATTTTAAAGATCTAATGTGTTTGACCGAGCAAAGGAAAGTGTTCCAAAGACGTAGAGCAGCAATACTAAAATCTCGTTCCCCGTAAGAATGATATGACTAACCCCTCTCCCACCTAGCAGGGACGTAGCCAGGATTTTGAAAGGGGGGGAGCCGTTATGCGAGATACGTATGACCCTGGCGGGGTCCAGGGGGACGAACACCCCCCACCCCCCCGCTGTGAAGTAGCGCACTCTGGACGTTTTAAGGACTGTTTTGAGCTGAGGATAAAGTGAAAATTGTATTAGACACATCATAAATAATATTAGTAGGGCCAGCAATAATTATAATAAATCAACAGAATCCATGAATTCGAAAGAGAGGTGTCCCAGGGAGGGATTTTCACAGACTGAGGAACCATCCACCTCAGCCCCACCATGGTTGGGGCTGAGGTAAGAAAATTTATGATTAGGGCACTTCTAGATGGCCGGAAATTACACTTTCATACTTAAATTTGAATATATTTTCCTTTTTTTTTCCTCAAAAAAAAAAATTCTTATCTAAAATAGTCATAATCACAAAAAAGGGATGAAAAACCAGATCACATTCTAAAAACAAATTATGCCCCCTCTCCTTAGCTGTCACCAAGACACACTCTGAGCATGGAGAAAATAAGAGTCAGGTGCCGACTCGATGCAGTTTAATGTCACACCCAGAAGGGCACAGATCTGTTTTGTAAGGTTGAGGGGGAGGACATTTTGTGAGTCGGCACCTACCTCAGACTCACCATGCTTGGAGCTGAGGAGCGAAAATGTGAGGAAATAGTACCTCTAGATGGCCAGAAACAAAACTTTTAGTAAAAATCATTATCATCACCTGACCGTTACCGGTAGTCCAAATGAAGCGCCAAAAGTAAAATCTCATGGTCTTTTTCATAAAGGTTTTTCTGCAACCAAAAAGATCTTATTAATTTGTGTGATACATCATAGAAAACAAAGCTTAAAAACATTGTCTTTGAGTATGTTCTTTACATACTTCAAAACCGTGATTTCACAACCACCTCAGCCCCACCATTGTTGGGGCTGAGGTGAGAAAATTTGAGGAAATAGTACCTCTAGATGGCCGGAAATCACACTTTCACATAGTAAAATTCATTATCATCACATCACCATTACATAGTCAAAATGAAACGCCAACAAATTTCTCATGTACTTTATCAGAGATCTACTTGATATCCAGGACGACTTGACCTAACTATAATTTAATATATAAGCTTATAATTATCATCAACAAATCACAACTTTATTTTTCGCCTTTAGCACAATTTCCTTCACATTTTAATATTATTAATATTACTATCAATTATCATCATCATCATCATCATCATCATCATCACCATTATTATTATTATTATTATTATTATTATTATTATTATTATTAATAATAATAATAATAATAATAATATATTATTATTATTATTATTACTATTATTATTATTATTATTATTGCTAATAGTATAGTATTATTAAACAATAGGCCCTACTTTAAAAAAGCTTGCAAAAGGATAAAAACCAAACTGAGCCATACAGTATCACATTTCTGTATTACTTAAAAGACTTGGCATAGGATTTATGGATTTTTAAAAATTACGCTTAGACATGTGATATAATTATAGTAGGCCAGGCCTATGCAAAACGAGTTCAGATGCATTTTTACGTATTTTAGAAGCATTCATTTTGAGTGGTCCCAGGAAATCATTTGTATTGGCTCAGAAAAAAGCTTTAAAAATTTTACACTGTGTACTAAGGGGGGGAGTCACAGCTCCCACGGCTCCCCCCCCGGATACGTCCCTGCCAACTAGGTTTATTTCACCTAAGAGTCGTACGATTTCTACGAGTTAAAACTCGTGATCTTTGGAAAAGACCTATATGAGCTTATTACGTGTTAGCTACGAGTGAAGTACGACTTTATGGAGTTGGTTACGAGTTATGTACGAATTATGCCGAGCAGAGCACCGAGTTAACTACGAGATTATTAAGAGCGTAACAAGTTTGTACCGAATTAGATATGAGTTGGGTACAAGCCAACTCGGTGCGCTCGTACTTACTCGTACTCGTTTTTGGGTGCTCGCATCAAACTCGTAGATGACAAAACCGCCGACGAGTATCCAGAGTAGTGTACGAGCTACTGTAGGTAGGAGTACCCCGAGTACTCTACGAGCTACCTACGAGTTCTTCGAGTTTACTACGAGTTATCTACTCGTGGCGATAATTTTGAACATGTTCAAAATTAGCGCCACGAGTTCAGAGCTGCTACGAGTACGTAAGAGTCCACTCCGAGCTTTCCGAATCGTCCTACGAGTTTTTGCCGAGTTTGCTGAGTTAGCAACTCAGCATTCTCTTGTAACTCGTATGCTGAAAAAAACCCCTAGTGGGAGAGGGGCTAGGTGTAAAAATAGTTTGTCACAAGAGCGCAAGTTACGCCCAGGAATATAAGGCTGAATCATGTCGGCAACATAGTCTGGAGCCAAACCATTTAAACATTTAAAAACTATTAATGATATCTTAAAAACAATGCGGTGTTGTACCGGGAGCCAATGTAATGGATCTTTCCGGACTGGCAATAACATTTAACAACTGGCCAACCGGAGCAGGGCCAGGAATACGCGCGTGTCTAAAGCCGGCTTTCCACTAGGCGAATTTATTCGCGCGCATCGAAAGCGTCGGTTCATGCGCATGCGCGTTCACATCCCTATCGGAGTTTGCGAAGCGAAAAAATGCACATCCAAATCTTTGATTTTGATTCGCGCGAATAAATTTGCCTACTGGAAAACCAGCTTTACACGCGTCCGCACATGTGTTGTCCCACAACACGTGTGTGTTGTAACACTGTCGTTTTTTTGGGACCTATAAGGAGTTAGTTTTAGACATTTATAATACGTACGTTTGTAGTACTGATAATCTCCATTTTCTTTATACTGTTTCCTAGGCAGATCATAATAAAACAGATCACACACCTAGTTGTTTTAATGTTCACATGTTCTACTTCCATGTTACTACTATACATTCAAGCTTCATTTTGACTATATTTACCAGTATATTCCTCCAGAGCACTCTTTGCAATTCGAGTTAAAATAATACTTTGTTGAACTAAACTCTTTAATATTATCTCAATTGTTTAGATTTGTGTTCCCCGAATCCATGTCAGAATGGAGGTACTTGCTCAGGATATGAAACGCCACTATGTTACTGTCCATACGGCTATTCCGGAGACAATTGTGAAGAAGGTAGTTTTATCATAATTCGCCTTCAATAACACCTAATTTTTAAAAGCGTTATTACTCAATAGTATATTGACTCTGCATCCAGCCTAACATACCGATCAAGAATCTGAAAACATTGCCTTTTTGTGTTGTTTCTGCAGTGTGAACCAAACTTTAGGCTAAAGAAGAAACTCTGTGTCTGATGACAATGTGCTAATAGAAGTAGCAAAGATACTAGAAACACAAGATAGAGTTCTCCACAGAAAAATAGTGTTCCACCGAAATGTATGTGAGCACAAACAATGGGGCGCTGCGTACGGCTGGACCTAAAAAACTTCTGTCAAATTTTACATCACGGTGAACACCCGGGTGAATACATAACCTCTTTTGGCGGCCCGTTTGGTGGAGGTAGACATTGTTGCCACCCGTAAGATACAAACAAGTAGGCATAAATAAATCAAAAGAATAAAATAACAGACACAAAAGTGTAGAATCATATGATCGGACTGTGATATCTGGATTTACTTTGCAACAGAAGGGCGCCCCTGTACTATGTGTAAATATCTATATAGAAAACTGAAGGGCGGATTGGCGTAAAAGATGTGACGTATATCCGCCTCCATTTTTACTATGCGAGTGTTCTATGTATTTCTAGTATCTTTGGAGATAGTAGGGAGCTTTCGATGCACGACGACTGTAGGACGTAGAGCGAAATGGCATCAGTAAAAGTCGTCTGCGCATGCGAAAATGTAAAGGTGACCTCGTTGAGTAGATTCTGGAACGCAATTTGGCCAAATCTACATATGAAGAGAACGTAGGTATGACGGTCATGCATGAATGATAACGTTGTAGCGTCGCGTCGTCGCACAAATCCTAAGCTAGGCACAGAGAGGTCTTTACAATGCGCTATGTAAAATAACAATGGACCTTTCCGGACTGTCAATTAAACTTAACTGACCAATCAGACTACAGGAATACGTGCTCAATGGAAGGTCTATTATTAGAGTAACTTAAACGTGTTTTAAAGCAAACTGAACGCATAGGTCTACTCTAAGAATTGTAACTAATCATTTTGTTAAAAATAAATCGGTGAAACGTCCTCAATTGTTGTATACACCTGTACGCTTTATCCAATGTAAAGCGTATGCAACACTCGATTAACTCTTGCAAAGTGTACTACTACATTTGAAATATAACCCCCCTCTGTGCAGTTTGGTTTTTTCTATAAAATAATGCTTCCCAAATTGTAACATTTTTTTTAGCCGATATCTGTGTTTCGCAGCCGTGTATGAACGGCGGCTACTGTATTGGGGATGTTGATTCCAGCTATTTTAGTAGTTTCGATGGTCCTTGTCTTTGCAATATTGGATATGGAGGCGACTATTGTGATGACGGTACGTATAGCCCTACACATTGTTGTAATAATAGAAACAACTTAAAAATTCAGCGTCACAGTCTCCTGACTTATATTTCACAGTGAAGTTCCCCTGTAAACGAGAACACAAAATAATTATTTCATTTACAAAATCTTCTAAGGTCAATCACTTGCTTCTTTTTTTTTTAAATTATTCATCAAACATTTAAAGACTTATCAGACACTTAAGACGAATGAATAATGCACCTGAAATTATTTTTCTCAGTCTGACAAGAAAACATCACTTAAATAAAGGTTTGTGTTGAAAGTTTGTTATTTTTTAAAACTATAAACTTAGTTTGCCTCAGTGATTATTTGTAATACTTTCCTTGGAGTAGGACGGTTCTCTTGCAGCAGCTCGCATGACAACCTTTCTATTATTAAACTCCGTGTATAATACCAACCATGAATAGGTCTACTCGCTCTGGATCGACATCAGTCCCAAGTGAATTTGAAAGCTACGTAAGAAAAACTCTTACTGAGATATTGCAGGGTCAAGCAGATCTTGAAGAAAAATTAGGCAATATAATATCGGATAACGTTTCTGCTCTATCAAAATGCATTGATACCATCGAGATCTTTCCAATTAACATTTTGCTTTCTTTATATAACACCTTAATACAACCATATATTTTGTATTGCAATATAATTTGGGCAGGCGATTATCCTTCCAACCTCCACAGCCTAAATACGTTAATAAAAAAAGCTGTTCGTTTTAATACATTTTCTTCCCGCATCACTTCCTCCGAACCTCTTTTAAAAAAATTAAACATACTCAAATTAAATGATCTACACAAAATGCAAATTGCCTCTTATATTTTTCAGTTTTTTCATAACGAACTTCCACCAAACATGGCTAATCTTTTTAAAATCAAACCCTTATCCCACAAGTATAATTTACGTAATGTAAACCAACTTTGGTTACTTCATATTCCTTATGTTAAACTTAGGTTATCTGAACATTTTCTTTCCGTATCTGGACCACGTCTATGGAATGGTCTTGATGACAACTTTAAAAAATGTATATCTCTTCCAGTATTCCGTAAAAACCTTAAAAAGCATTACATATCAAAATATAATACAAACTAAGGTTTCTGTGATTTTTTACTCTTGTTATTTTGTATTTATTATATA